TTCAATTTGTTTATGTGATGTATCACGTTTATTGATTTGCGGATATTGTACCATCCTTGCATCCCTGGAATAAATCCTACTTGGTCATGGTGGATGATCTTTCTGATGTACTGCTGGATCCGATTTGCTAAGATTTTGTTGAGGATTTTGGCGTAAGTAGTTTCTTGGTTTAAGTTGGCATACTCAGGGAGATGAGGAATTGCCGAAGGAAGCAAGAGTCTTTGAAAGGGTTGTTCTTACTGATTCCAGGGTAAACCATCCTGTAAAGCACTCATTCAGCGAGACTTCATTGAGAACCTTCACTTCATATATGAAAACTATATCACCCAATATCACCTCATTGATTTAATTGTGAAAAAAGAAAAACAAACACCTCCTGTGTGCTGGGTGCTGGGCTTACTGCAGTGGGCCAACCCAAGCCCTTTCTTCATGGAGCTTCTAGTGGGGAAGTCAGCAGTCAGCTAGCCATCACCAAGACCTCTGATGGGATAGATACTGAGGAGGGGCAGTGGCCACCCAAGAGTGGCTGTGATAGACAGGTTGTTTCGCAGAGACCTGGGTGAGTAGGAAATAAAAATAATACAATAAAGGAAACCAACTGAGTTGATAGGTGTTCTGTCTCAGAGATAGAATGAAAATTATAACAATGGCTTTTAAAATTATTCTCAAGTAATGTTTACATTGATCATTGAAAAATTCTCTTATAGTCATCATTTCGCCTCTTCATTTGGATACAAAGAGAAGTGAAACAGTCCAAAACTTGATATCTTCAAGGTGTCCAGTGGAAATACTAATTAGGTAGCTATAAAGTACAGTCATGCAGGTATATATTCTAAGAAATGTGTCCTTCAGGAATTCATTGTTGTGTGAACATCAGAGTGCACTTTTGTAAATCTAGGTGGTATAGCCTCCTGTACATCCAGGCAGCCTATTGCCCCTCCGGTACAAGCACATACAGCATGTTACTGTACAAAACAAGATTAAATCAAGCACAAGAGAAAATGATGCCATCGAGAGATGTAATAAACATGAGGTATATGAAGTTGCTGCCCATATAACATGGGATGCCGTTTCACAGCACACTTTTCTTTATCATTAGAAAAAAAACCACTATAAAACTGATTAAAAGTGTAGTGTAGTAAATACATAAACCAGTGGCATGGTTCTTTATTATATTTATTAAGTATTAGGTACTAGACGTAGTTGTATGTGCTCTACTTTTATATGACTGGCAGCACAGTGGGTTGGTTTACATTAGCATCTCCATAGACACAGGAGTAATGCGTTGTATTACGTTAACATGTGGTGGTAGCCACACCACTTAGACAATAGTGATTTTTCAGCTCCATTATAATCTTACCAGAGGCCTGGTGCATGATTTTGTGGGGTCCGTCGGCCTGGCTGGTGAACAGGGCCATCTTGTCCACTCCTGATCGGGGCCTACTGGCAGGGGTGGGGTTGGGGGAGCAACCATGGGAAGTTGTCTGGTCACGGGAGGTTGGTTGTGGGAGCACACTGACCACCAGGGAGCAGATCCTGCGTTGAGTGTCTGGCCCCTCGTGGTCAGTGCACATCATAGCTACCGGCCAGTCTTAACCATTGCTTAGGCTTTTATATATAGAGAAGATGGGACCACTGTCATATATGTGGTCTGTTGAACGAAATTTTGTTATGCAATGCACAGCAAAGATATAGTCCTCTTTTCTTCTTTATTGTTTAAAGTCAGCAACCAAACAGCATTTCTGTTTTGAGATTGCTATTCCATGTGATAAAGTGATGGCATTTAGGTCTGCAAGCAAGAAGAAGATTGCATTTCTGCCTGTGAAAATGATCAACTGCCTCCTCTGCTATTTGAATTTCATGACCAGGAATATGAGACTGAAAAGACTGTGTTGTTTCTGTCCTGTTAGCAAAAACCTTCAAAGTCCTGTGGTGAACCTATGAATTTGTTTCTTAGCATTGCTGGGGGGAAAGTGTAGCCTACAAAAAGTTTAGGCTTTTCCAGAGCCAGAGGAGAAAGGCAAGCATAACCATCTGTGGGATTGACATTGAGTTAAACCTGTGACAGGTGAGGACTTTTGCTTTGAGCTACAGGTAATAGACAAATAAAACCTGGAACAATAGATGTAGGACAAACAGATTCATGTGGTTGTGACAAGGCAGGTACAAAATACTGTGTAAATGTGGTGGAGAGGTGTCACTTTAGGAATACTGTTTTCCTTAGTGGCTGTATCTTGTATTCCTGCCAGAAGTGTGCTAAGGTTCCTTCTTATCCACAACTTCACCAGCACTTATTGTATGACTTATTAATGGTAGCTACTCTGGCTGGTTTGCAGTGGCACCTCATTGTCATTTTAATTTGCATCTCTCTAATAATTAGTGACATTGAGCATATTTTCATATCTCTTGGCCATTTGTATATTGTCTTTGGAGAAGTATCTATTTAGATTCTCTGTCCATATTTAATGGGGTTGTTTTTCTTTTGGTGGATTATATGAGTACTTTATGTGTTTTGGAAATTAACCCCTTACCATATATATTATTGGCAAATATGTTCTCCAATACAGTGGGTTCCCTTTTCATTTTGATGCTGATTTTTTTTTTTTTTTTTTGCTTTGCAGAAGCTTTTTTAATTCAATGTAGTCTCATTTGTTCTTGTTTCTCAAGAATGTTGTGGCTAGGGGACCCTACCCCCCTTCCTATGTGGGAGTCCGTTATGTGGTACTCTTTCCCTCTCTCCACTTGGGAGTCTGTACTTGTTCTTTAACAAATCTCCGCCTTTGCTATACCAAAAAAAAAAAAAAAAGAATGTTGTGGCTATTTGGGGTCTTTTTCAGTGTTCTGTATCTCATTTGAATGTTCAAAACATTCAAATTTATATGCAAATATAATTTTTTGCATATTTCTAGATCTATGAAATATGCACTTGGCATTTTAATAGGGATTGCATTGAATCTAAGGATTGCTTTGGATAGAAGGCACATTTTAATGATATTAATTCTACCATTCCATGAACATGGTATATTCTTCTGTTCATTTATCTCTTTTTTCAGGGTCCTGGGCGTTTGCTCAGTGGTGGGGTTGTGTGGGAGGGGTGGGAGGAAGTGAGTATTAGGTTATGGAGAGATTGAAAGCAAAGCACAGAGCAAGGGAGGCACAGATATATCCAGGTAGCATGAGTCTGCTGCTGGAGGTGCAGTGTTCCCAGTGCAGAAGTAGTGTGCTATTTCAAGTCAGTCCGGAAAGAAGGTCTGGGCACCACCAGAGCAGAGACGGCAACAGAAATCCAGGTCTTCTTTTCAGGAAATGAAGGGTGCTGCTGATGGTGGTTGCTTGAAGGCAGAGAGACTGATGTCAGGGAGAGCACATTGATTAGGTTATTTCAGCTCAGCTGTCCAGGTGAAAAGTGAGATGTACTCTAATTGCAGTAGCTGGGGGAGTTAGAGCCTGTAAGCCCTGGTGGCTGAGTGAATGTAGTGTAGAAAGGCATGATTAAAGGGAGAGGAATGATAACTTCCGGTCTGAAGCTGATGCTGTGGGATTTCCAAGTGTTGATGGTAGGGAACTGGCCAGAAATGTGGATGAGGCTGGGGGAGAGATCTGTGCTAGAGAAAAAGATGTGGAAATGATCAGGGCAGAGCTAATAGCTAAAACTCCAGGAAGGGATCGGCCCAGGGCAAGTGGGAAATGTTGGTGAGATGACTAGGGGGGTTCAGGTGCGGGATGCTGGTTTTGTACTATATTTGTACTGTTCTGGGCGGGAGAGGCTCGATTGCCTTTGTGGGAATTAGGGGAAGAGTTATACAATTGCGGTATAAGTACAGACTAATGTTTAAGTTAGAATCCTAAATAGAGAGTTACAACTGAGTATAGAGGCAGAAATGCAAGGCTTGCGAAGGGCAGAGTACAGAAGAAGGGGTGAGGAAGATAAGGAAATGTGTTGTGGCGGGGAGGACAGTTGAAGTTGTTCATGGCAAGGGTGACTTGTTTTCATCTAAGTAAAGTAAAAGGCAGATGCTGTGCCAGGTGTGGGGCTGGAGGCTGCGAAACCATGAAGATGGATCAGCAGGCCAACACAATTAACAGAGTTGAGCAGTCTCCCTGGGTCTCTGCTCTTTATTTTCTGTCTCTTTAGGTGCAGATGAGAAAGAAGTTAGAGAAGAGAGTGAAGAAGAAAGAATATGGAACCTGCTGAAAGAACAAAAGCTGAGAGAAGAAAGAAGGCAGAATGAACAGAAAGCTTTGGAAAGAGAACGGAGAAAACTAGAAAAACTGGATCGAGAAAGGGTATAATAAGTATAGCTCAGTTCTCCATGCTAGTAGGTAACTTTTAAAAAGCTTGCTGCAGGCATCCCGATTCTCTCCTGTGCTTAAGCCCACTGAGAAGGGCTATACATGGGCATATTAGGAGTCTCATAGGAAAGGGGAGCTTTGCAAGTCTGTGGGCATGCATTCTCATGTTCCTGAAAACCCACTCGGAAAGGAGATGGACTCTGCTTTGCTGTAGAACTTCCCTGTGTAAGGGGTTTCAAGGTCAGCTGGCTAGGACCAGAGGAAACTGGGGGAGGTGGCTGCCAATCTGGTGGCTTCCTCAGGCTGCCCTGCCCTCCTCCCTCCTCATTGTCTTTGACTTTCTATGTCCTGATTCTGGTCCCAGGCAGATGGATTACCCTGCTACTTCTCATGCCTGCTGGACCTTACATAGATTAATCTTCTGTATCATGTTCCTTGAATTCCTGACTCATTTGATCTAGAGCACAGACACTTTAGGCAAAGTAATTCCAATCCTTCATTACATGATATATTTGTGCCACTTTGATAGTAGCAACGAATGAAACAGTTTTCTGGCATGCACATTTTACATAAAGAAACAGAGTTATAGCACTATGTGTTTTTAAAATGTATATGTGTATCTCCTATTTTGCTGGTCATCTATTTACAGCAGATTATTAAAGAGTCTTTTAAGACTGAAATGGAGAAAGAATTAGAAGTGAGCGCTCAAGAAATGAAAGACAAATCTGTTTGTGGTGACTATGCTTTAAAGAAATACATGCATATCACCCAGAAGGACCAAGACCTGAAGAAGGTGGATAAGGTACTGATGCTATGGACCAGTGGTCTGTATGTGAGGGTGTGAGGGCTTCTGTGGTTTGTTAGAAAACCTTGGGACAGGAGTTGGAGACAAAAAGGTAACAGCAGAGGAAATCCAAAATTCAAATGGAGCCTCAAGCCGTATGTATATTACACTTCTGACAAAATTTTATCACCTTTGCTTGGGCCAAAGAGTGAACAGATCTTGATTTGTAAGGTTTGTAAAATTTGAGCTATCTCATTATTTTCAGAACAAGAATGAAAGTGCTATCAATGAAAAACAAATGGATTGGTACTGTCTGAGACATGAATCCTATATAATAAAATCCTAATATGCAAATGGATCGAACCGCAGAATGACCGGTCTTTATGATGGGCATTGACCACCAGGGGCAGATGCTCCATACAGAAGCTGCACCCTGGTGATCAGTGCGCTCCCATAGGGGGAGCGCCGCTCAGCCAGAAGCTGGGCTCATGGCTGGTGAGCACAGCGGTGGTGGTGGGAGCCTCCCCCACCTCTATGGCAGCGCGAAGGCCATCAGTCGGACATCCCCCAAGGGCTCCCAGAATGTGAGAGGGTTCAGGCCGGGCTGAGGGACCCCCTGAGTGCACGAATTTCTGGAACTGGGCCTCTAATATATTACATAAGTCTGGAATACTATGGCTATTGAGAATGCGCACAGGATAGTTTGAGTGCTTGCTAAATTTCACATCTAAAAGTCAACTTTTTGGACTCAAATTATATATAGGCAGTCCTCGGGTTACGTTGGACTCAAAGTATGTTGTTTTGTGGTTACGTCGCTATCTCCTGTTTACAGTATTAATAAAAAAAATTCCGTCATTTCGACATATGTACATATGTGCTTTGTTTTTTATTATTTGCCACAAGTAAAGGTCAGGAATTATTATCTTTCAATTTTTTTGTACTGTTTCACTTCATTACTGCTGTGTATGTGCTCCATGTGAGTGATGTAGGTGCTTATATAGGTGGGTTCCGACTTAACGGGGAAAATCGCATTATGTCGCGATGTAACCCGAGGACCTACTGTATATTTCAAAAAGTTTTCAGCCCAACCAGCATGGCTCAGTGATTGAGTGTTGACCTATGAATCGGAAAGTCACAGTTTGATTCCTGGTCTGGACACATAACCCAGGTTGCTGGCAGATCCCTAGTGGGGAACGTACAGGAGGCAGACAATCAATGATTCTCATCCTTGATGTTTCTAACTCTCCCTCTCCATACCTCTCTGATATTTTATTTTATTTTTTTATTCTATTATTTTTTTTATTGTTTTATTGCTTAAAGTATTAAAAGAGTATTACATATGTCTCCTTTATTTTCCCGCCCTTGACAATCCCTTGGCCTCCCCTAGCCCCCCAGTGTCATGTCCATTGATTATGCTTATATGCATGCATACAAGTCCTTCGGTTGATCTCTTCCCCCCCCCCTGCCCCCGGCCCTCTACCCTCCCCGTTGACACTTCTCTGTCTCTGGATCTATTTTAGTTCATCAGTTTATGTTGTTCATTATATTCCACAAATGAGTGAGATCATGTGATATTTATCTTTCTCTAACTGGCTTATTTCACCTAGCATAATGCTCTCCAGGTCCATCCATGCTGTTGCAAATGGTAAGAGT